TAATGTGTGAGCCTTGTGTGATGAACCATCAACAAGAGGTTAAATTGAATTAGTAATTTGATTAACCATATTTACTAGTCTTGCTTGATACGAACTGAACACTAGGAAGCATGTTAGTTTAATCAACTGATCACTGTTTGAATTGACTTGTTTGCTAAAGGATTAGTTATAGTGAACGTGAATCTAATCATTTTAGGAACCGGTGAACATGAATAAATGAATTTGTGTATGCAATTGTCTATGTTTTTAAGGTGTAATTTATCTAAACCAAAGTACCTGAAGAGATTTGCTTTCTTGTTAGTTTATCGAGAGTTGTTAATTAATTGTTAGTTTGAGATTTATTAAACTATTTCTTTATTCTTTTCGTGTGACCTGTAACCGATAATCAAATATTTTAAATTAATTCACTACCGTTCCCTGTGATCGACACCCGACTTACCTAAGCGATACTGTAATCTGACTAGGTACACTGCCTATAAGTGCATAGTTAGTCTAAGTTTGTTAGGTTATAAATATTAAAATTAGTGGGTACTTTTGTGCACATCACTGATAATGTTTGTCTTTAAATCGAAAATAAAGTACACATTAGTTAAAAGCTTTTGCCTACCTTCACGACTTTCGAACAATACCGAACCTTTTCCGCAAATCTCAACATGTGAGTTATCACCAAACTGAACCCTACCTCCTATTCAAGTATTTATCTCACTGAAGTAAGAGTGATCACCACTCATGTGATTTCTTGCTCCATTATCAAGGTACCAAACGGCATTGTCAGCCATTTGTGAGTATCTTGATGGAATTAACAGTCTCGTTTAACAGCACAGTTTCGAACATGGTTTCTACCATGAATACAGCCGGATCTTGCTCATCAACTTCACCGAGATTAACCTCATGTTGTTTAACCTTACGTTCCGGACAACGATTAGTGAAGTGTCCGAATTTATCACACCGGTAACATTAAACTTTTGAGTGATCTTTCGCTTTACCTCTTACTTTTTTCAGTTTCACCACCGGCTGAATTCAATGATAGGTTTTGTTGGTGAGTTTTCCTGTTATTATTCCTATTTCAACGACTCCGTCCACCGGCTTTACTCTTCCTGTGATGGGACTCATTGTTCCGCGATGACGACACAGATTTGTTGAGTAGGAGTTTTCCTTGATCAATGGTTTGAGAGTCATCACGGGTCCTCTCTTTGTATGCCTTCAGCCTTCCAACGACATCTTCAAACCCAACTGACCCAAGGTCTAAGATTTGCTATATAGAAGCAACTATGTGGATGAATCTTCTTGGTAAGCTTGTTAGAAAATTTTTAACCATCTTCTTTTCATTAATCGTTTCCCCAAGAGAAGATGATTTAGACACTATACCTGACAGTTGGGTCACATATTCATCAATTGTAGCCGACTCCTTCATCTTAAGATTGTCAAACTTGGTAATTAGGGTTTGCAATCTAGCCTCCCTCACCCTGTCTGCACCCAGGTTACGGGTTTTTATGGCGTCCCAAATTTCTTTTGCCATATCCATCATTCCAACTTGTAAAATAAGATCTTCAGGTATCGCCTGGAAGATCACAGTAATAGCGACGTTGTTCTTCTTTGGATCAATCTCAATAGCAACATTATCCTTCTTTGGATCATTCGCTCTCGGATCTATGACATCCACACCTGATGAACATTTAATATCACTTTCATGCGAAATTGCCCGCACAGTATAATTCGTTGCATTCAACATTGGTACTTGAAATGAAAGACATTCCTTTTTCGCTTCCCCCTGGAACAGAAGACGATGGCGTATCTCCCTCCACCATGTCTTCTTTTCAACCAGGCTCTGATACCAAATCAAAGCAAAAACAAGATCTAACCAAACACACAACAGTTATTATTGAGAAAAACTAACGCACAAAAAAACTCAATTGGTTCACGCTTGATATCACAGCTCGATAACTTAGCATGTATATATATAGAATACAAGACATAACAAACTAGCATCTATTTAGGAACCTAGCATCAATCCTTATCAGTATCTAATTTGTTACCCACAAAACTAGATAACTCTTATTATACCTCATCGTATAAAGGATAATTCAGAAATTTCTAACAGTGACGAGTCTAGAAAGTAAACTATGTGGTTCACTATTTAATTGAAAATGATAGAAAAAAAAACTACTAGTTACGATTCCGGGTCTGATCGGACCATATAAGGAAAAAAGTTTTAAAGTTCTTATAATTGTATCCGACGAGGTTTTATATCATGATATATTTTCATAATTATATCATTACTAATATTTTCTAAAAGTCATTCTTCAATATATGATTCCTAAAGTTAGAGATCCGAAGGTTGTCAGAGATTTTAGACCTATTAGTTTGATTGGTTGCCAATACAAAATTATTGGCAAACTTCTTGCTAATAGGCTGGCGGAGGTTATTGGTAGTCTGGTTAGTGTGGAGCAATCTACTTTTATAAAAGGCAGACAGATTTTAGATGGTCCTTTTCTCCTTAATGAAGTTGTGGCTTGGAGTAAAGCGTCTAAATATCCTCTTTCGATCTTTAAAGTGGATTTTGAGAAAGCTTATGATTCTTTATCTTGGGAATACCTACTGGAAATCATGCAAATTATGGGGTTTGGTTCCTTGTGGTGTAATTGGATTTTGGAGATGTTGTCATCTGCCACAGTCTCGGTCCTAGTGAACGGTTCTCCTTCTCGGGAATTCCATATGTTTAGAGGTCTGAGATAGGGTGACCCCTGTCCCCTTTTCTTTTTCTTTTGGCCATGGAGGGTTTGCATGTGGCTGTGTCTCGGGCACAATTGTCTAATACTTACAGGGGAATCACAATTGGAGGAATTGCTATTTCTCATCTTTTTTACGCTAACGATGTTGTTCTTATGGCATAGTGGAATCATGAAAATGCCCTACATATTGTCCGAATCCTTAGATGTTTCTTTTTGGCTTCGGGGTTGAAAATTAATCTTCATAAAAGTAAGCTATACGGTGTGGGGGTGACTCCTAACCAAGTCTCTTATGTGGCTAATTGTATGGGTTGTTCTTCGAGTTCGCTTCCTTTTATTCATTTGGGTGTTCCGGTTGGTCAGAATATGTCTAGAATTGATTCTTGGGGTTCTATTATTGATTCTTTCCAAAAAAAATTGGCGGTCTGGAAAGCTAAAACCCTTTCATTTGGGGGTCGAATGACTCTTGTTAGAGCTGTTTTGGGGTCTATTGGTAGTTATTTGATGTCTATTTATCATGTACCACTAACGGTGATAAATCAGTTGGGGAGATTGAGGGCTTCGTTTTTTTGGGGGGCTGATTTGGATGACCGTCGTATGCATTGGATTAAATGGGATAAAGTTTTGGCTCCCACTGATGTTGGAGGATTGGGGATTGGTAGTCTTTTTTCCTTTACTAAGGCTTTATTATTACGTTGAAAGTGGTGTTTTTTCCATAACCCAAATTTATTATGGGCTAGGGTGGTCAAAATCTTATATGGTTTGGGTGAGGTCACAAATCTGTTGATTCCGCAGAGATTATTGACGGGTCCTTAGAGATATATTACAAGGATTGTGAATAATCTAAAAGACCGGGGTTTTGATTTCCATAATTTAGCTCCTATTCGGATTGGTGATGGGGCTAGTACTTCTTTTTGGCATGATACTTGGAAGGGTGATAGTCCACTAGCTATTTCCTTTCATAGAATTTTTGCTTTAGATATTAATCGTTCAGCCAATGTTAGGTATCGTTTTTTAATTGGATGGAACACAGAAGTTCTTAGACGTTTGCCTAGAGGTGGGATAGAACAAGTTCAATGGGATTCTTTTTTGGAGGAGATGCAAAATGTACAACTTCAGCAAGTCCCGGATAGGTTGGGTTGGTCTCTTGATAGCTCTGACTCTTACTCTGTTTCGTCGGCTCGCCATGCTTTGGATGGCGGGCTAGTTGATTCAGGGGATATGGCTACTAGATGGAATAATTGGGTTCCTATTAAACTCAATATTCTTATATGGAGGATTCAGTTATCTAGTATTCCTACAAGGGAGAGATTATCTAGGAGAGGTATCATGGTTCCTTCTATTATGTGCCCTATTTGTTTGGATGCAGTAGAGACCATTGAGCATATTTGTACAAGTTGTCCTGACTTGAATAACATATGAGTAAGGGTAGCTATTTGGTGGGGATTATCTCTCCCAGTTCATCTTTCGGTGTAGTCGTTAATCAACTGGTCAGAAAATATCAATCTACGTAGAGGGCAAAGGAAGGTTTTTGATGCGGTAATTATCACTTCCTTCTGGTGCTTATGGAATTTTCGTAATACTTCTAATTTTAGGATGGTTCTTCCAAAGAAATCGGATCTTTTTGATGAGGTTGTTGAGAAGTCTTTCTTTTGGATTTCTAATAGATGTAGTAGAGTAAATTTACATTGGACTGATTGGCTTCGTAACCCAACGTTAGCCTCCTCTAAAATGTAATTTCATGCTAGCTTCTTGCTAGTGTTTTTTATTAATAAATTTCTGCTGTTAAAAAAAAACATGACACCAAACTATCACTCAAAAATTGATCACCAATTTTCCGGATCAACAGGCAGTGAACTTAAATCAACTTTCATATGATTATGTATTATGTTGCTAATTATCTTTTTCTACTGTCTTTTTATTTATCTTTTTAAAAAACTTGAACAAAACATTTTTGATTCTATGCTCCGAAGCAAACGAAAATTGGCCATTCAAAATCAAAGACATTATTGTTTCTATTTTGTTACAAAGTATCAAAGTAAAGAAACAAATAAATAAAACGAATTCCAAATAAATAATGAACTATATCATTCGTAAAAACATCTTAATATCCAATTATGTCAAAGTATCAATTACAAAGTATAGAAAAAAATCCACTGTATCAATTATCAAACACAATCAAATTACATCAATTACTCAATTACAAACCATTAATTTCTATTTCGAACAATGTATCAAAGCATCAACCATAATCCAAATTAAAGAAATTAATCAATTATAGTTTACAGACCTGATATGAAGAAGTTGAAGGCCATTGTCGATGGTCGGATCTAGCGTTGTTATTGTCGGTGGCGGTGGCGGAGACCAAAGGGGAAGGTTGCTGCTCATCGGTGGTTTGGCGCCGTCAAAGGAAATGTCGGTGGTGTGGCCGGGAGGAATACGACGATTTTTTTTAATTCTCTTTATTATCTGATTTTAAATGCATTGGACTGAATGAATTCAACTTTGGGATAATAAAATATAAAACATGGGCTTTTAATTCTTTGTTTATACTATCTTTTTTAAACATGGTAGGTCATGTCACAAATGATCTTTATATATAACTTGTAATAAACATTTTAAAATTAGGTTGGTCAAATGACCCACATTTGGATTAAATATATTCGCCAATGGTTTGAAGTAGTTTTGTTGGAATGGTTGTTGGAAAATGGGTGGTTATGAAATATGTGAGTTGTTAGAAGTAGCATGTTCATGAACCATCCGACTGGTGATTCTAAATTTGGGTATTGGCAAGATGTTGTGTTGTGTATTTGTGATTCTAAATTTGGGTGAAGTGGGTGTGTATAGATTTTGATCCATTTTTTGATGTTTGGTGAATGAGAAATAATGTTTTTAAAAGAGAGAAAGAATTTATGATTATAGTGTGTTGTAGTGTATGAAATAGTATGGTATTTATAAGTAAATATTAGATAGTTCCATAAACATAATACCTTAATATAGAAAATACAAGTAAATGCTAATGTCCTATAAATTCAACTTTGTCTTTATAATAATAAAAAAAAAAAAGTTCCATCCAACTTTGTGTTTACAACAAAACAATTATGCCAACACAATCTTCCACCCAAAGTTGTCTACAAATTAGATTTCCTTCTTTACCAAAGAGATATTATTATATTACCACGTATGAATATGAATACACTACAAGTCCAAATAACAACACACATTCCAAACCAAATTTCAAAATGATTGAAAAAGGTTATATATATATATTTTCCATTAAACTTTATAGATATAAAGAGATGATAAACAAAAACAAGCATAAGAAAAATGATTATAAGGAGAGTATAACGATGATAATCGTACAGCTTGTAAGCATGTAAATCCAAGAACGATCCGCCATCTTACCACTACTCTCTTCTGACCTATTTTTACTATAAAAAGCAAACAAAATTTTATCCAGAAATAATCTGGAAATTGCTAATAATCCAAATGTTAAGGCAACAAGAAATATAACAATCCCTTTATTCTCCATATGTACTTGATTCTCCCTCACCTTTGCCACCTCAGCCCTAAATCCAAAATCAATCACACACACACATACTCATTAGATTCATTTTTACACAATACATGACATGACATAACAGTACATAATAATTTGTATTGGACTGAGACCAGAATGATGTCAATAGGACAAAAACTGTAATTTTTTATTGCAGATAAAAAGATGGGACAAGGTGGGACGTGGACAAGCTATTGATATTTTGTCTGTGTAAAAAGACATAAATGCCCTTCTCATCAAGGAAAAAAAAATTAACCTGAGGAAAGCATTGGTCTTTGTGATGTCATCCAGTTGAAGTGATACGAGTGTTTTCCATGAAACTAAATCATCAACCTGTTTACTCTGTAGTAAATAGTAAAAAGGGTTAAAGTTAAAACACAAGAAATAGCAATCAACTTTCATTTATTTCTATACAAAGCAATTTTTACAAAAAATAATACATAAGGGTAAAATTGTCATTTTTATAATTATTCAAGAAACATTGAATACAACAAGAAATGATACAGAAGGGTAAAATGGTCATTTTAAACAGCATGTTAAAAATTCAGATCCAGCCAAACAGCCCCTAAGAGAACGTGTAGAATTGTAGTTTTAGCTTTGATTATTTGTCAAGAAATAAATAAAATGGTTGACAATAAGAAAAATGACTAAAATACCCTTTGCATAAAAATAGTACTTACCAAGGCCTCCTTGCTCTCATGAAAACTCTTCAAATCGGTTCTTATTCCCTCCATAATCACATCTCTCTCTCCAATTTCTTCATCAATTTCTTTAAAAATATGTCCATATTTATTGTTCAATTCATCAAGATATCTCTCCAAAACCGATAAATTTATGTCCAAAAGCCGAACTTTTTGCATCAAAATCTTGATGACACTATCCCCGGGCAGCCTGCCCGCTTGTTGTTGCCTTACTTCCGCAAGAGGGTCAGGCACATCAACTGTCTTAACTGCCCGAATTCCATTTTTACCCTCCTCCAAAAACTCCTCATCTTCCATTCTATTTCCATCAAACAAATCATTATCCTTATCATTATCCTCCCTTTTCAAATCACTTTCAACTTCTTTATTCACAAACTTTTTATTATCTTGAACATTAACCAAATCCTCAAGCATCATTTCAACAGCATCAACCCCATAAACTTGCACAAAACTCAAAGTACAATAAAACCCAGTTCCATAATGACTTAAAAGATTCAACTTTATATATCTCACCCATTTTGGCTCTTTAAGAAAGAATCTTTGTTCATGTTTCACATTTCCAGCTGTGAAATTTCCAAGCTTTACCCATGTTTCAGTAGGGTAAACCAAACTCCCAAGAATCTCAAACTCTTTAAGATTCGATGAATGGTGTTCAAAATTAGCAATCTTGATTGTGTCAACTAGGGTTTCTTCAGAAAGTTCAAGAACTACAAATTTTTCTTCACTTGAACATGGGTTTCTAAGGTACTTATCTTTATCTATTGTTAAAATTCCTGAAGCCCCTTTTGCTTCTTTATTACTTGATAAAACTTTTGCACCTTTTGAAGCAGATGCATAGTTGTAATCTGCTCCACCTGGTTCTAATCTGTGGATTATGCTTACTGAATTTCCATTTGAAGGGCGTGTTTTTGTGTTGAAAGCTTTGTTCTTGAATTCATCGAGTCCTAAAGGGACTGATCTTGTTTTTTCAGGTTTAGAAGGGTTTTTTGGTAAAGGGTTTGATTCTTTTTGGTCAAATTCAGGATCTTGACTGATAATTTCCTCCTTTTGATCACTTTCGATTAGGGTTTCTGAATCGAGACCTGTGGATTGACATTCGTTTGATGATAATGAACAATAAGATGAGTTATTTGATTCTTGGTTGAATTCATCCCATGTTGTTAAATCATTTGGAAGATCTTCAGGATTATCTGTAAAATTAGATAAAAAGTATAATGTCATAAAGTTATTTAATGTAAAAAAAAACTAGTTATGAATTATGATTGTGATATTGCTATAATTGTCAGATGTTTCAAAGTTAAAATGAAAAAAGATAGTGTGATGCTATAATGAATGAATCAATGTAAAACATAAATGTAATTTCTTGTATTGACGGATTTACCCCTACAAAAACATGGTTTGAGGAAATATGAATGTGACTGACCTCTATAACCATCACCATGGCCGATCCATAAATTTAACAGGAACAAAAGCCCCCAAAGAAAGACAGCAAGAGACAATGAAACCTTATAAAAGTTATTTTTCCCAAAAGTAGATTTTCCCAAAGCTCTTCTTGAAAGAAGAGCTTTACGTGACCTCTGCATTGTACATCAATCTGATTCACTATTTACAACTCAAGAACAAGAAACCTGCAATCAAATAAACACTTTTGTTAATAAAGAATCACCTAAAGTGAACAATGGGTGTATGAACTATGAGCAAAGACAAATCAAAAGCAACAACATTGAAATATAATTTATATCTGTTTACAATTTGGTTGCAAGTAATTCTCGAATGGATGCTAAAAATCAATAGATGAAGACAGGCACAAAGAATCGCGTTGGCATATGAACAAACACTTTGCGTGCAAGAAACATCTGGCTCAGGAAAGATGATGGAGGGGTGTCCCAATCAATAACATTCTTCTTTGTTTTGTGATTATAAGTTTGGGCGAGAAAGATCGAATACGCATATATGAAATTGGATTCAAATTACAAAGATCAGAAACCGAAACCTTTGAATTTGAAATTCGAAACGTAGAAAACAGAGCAAAAGTCAATAATTGAACCTGGGTACAGGGATCTAAAAAGTATATTATAACATAAAAAGAAGCGGACATCATTAGGCACATGGGACAGCCGGCAGTCACGAAGATCTTAATTCTTAAATTAAATTAAAGAGAGACACACAGGAATTTGACAATTGACAGCACCTGGTAGATCTCTGTTCTTGAAATTGGGAACTTCTTCGAAACGATCAACGAAAAGTTGAAGACAATGAAATTCTTGAGATCATCAAATCAAACTGATAAAAAAAGCCTAAAGTTCAGCCGATCTTCCTCCTGACTTTCTTCAATATTCAATTCACCACATCAAATCAGAATTTCGATATAAATTATTAAAACTTCGTCGGATTTGCAGTCTTCCAATGGCGACCGTGTGTTCTTCCCTATAAGAAACTTGCTTTTTTATCGTTTACTTAACCCCTGTTGCCGTTTGTCTCACTCTATGATTTTCAAGAATCTTTGGGTTTTTGATTTTTCCACTCGAATTACGAATTGGGTAATTACTAAAATTTAAAGAAAGGGCGGTGGATTTACTGCTGATGGGTCAAAAAACAAGCTGTTTTTGTCCTCTCCTCGATGATATCATGTCCCCTACTCTCTCATGAACGATGAAACCCTTCAATGGTGTAAAGAGTAAATTTATACAAAGAGTTCGATAAAACTCAAATAGAAGAAGATATAGTGTTTTAATAGGATTCTAATGTTTCAAATTCTAGTTATCTAATTAATTATCTATTTACGCGTTCAACAAAATTTTAATATAAAAAATAATATATATATATATATATATATATATATATATATATATATATATATATATATATATATATATATATATATATATATATATATATATATATATATATATAAAAAGTATGTCGACTGTAATAATGTCTTATATATACTATTATTTAATTTTTTTTTATCAAATAGTATTAGAATATCATTTATATTCTATAAGTCAATGGCTATTTAGTATGTTTGTTCTTGACGAAAATGTCAATATATTATTTAATGAAAAATTGAAAATGTCTTGTTTTTTTGTAAAAAAAAAATGATCATATATTAATTTTTGTTTTCCTAAAAGTAATCAATTCTGTTGTAGATGCTTTGAACCAAGATTGTCAAGATCGGGATCCTACCTAGGATCATTTTTGGGTTTGCAAAATCGGAATCGTAAGATCGGGATCGAGATCCTAAGATCCCACAAAATAGAATATAATTTTAATTTATAATATTAATTATAAAAAATATTTCAAACATTTAATTTTTCGTTCAAAAGTTATAAAAACTTTAAAATATTAGTCATAAGTCACAATAAAAATGATAAATGGTAGATTGGTAAAGGGTAAAAGACATAAAATGGTAAAAAAAATTCATTTGAAAAGAAAAATTAAAGGAAGGTAGGATCGGATCGGATCTCGATCCTACGATCCTACCTACGATCTTACGATCCTACCTGCGATCTTACCTAAAATACGATCCTTTTACGATCTGAATCGTTTTTCATACATAGGATCGTAGGATCGTACAATCCTACGATCAGGATCGCGATTTTGACAACCATGCTTTGAACTGAATATAACTATTTATTTTGTTTTAAAATAATTAAAATGAAAAGCATTATATTTTAATATAAAAGTTTGAGTGCTTGTTACTTCAAATTGTAGTAATGAACAAAACTTGTTGAAAGCCACATCCGACATCCTCCGAATATCATATTTTTTATATTAATCTTGAGGAAGAAAATATATTTTTAGTCTATTTTACACAGCATACTTCAAGGATATGGTAAACAAATTAAGTTATTATTTGATATAAAGTGATATAAATATATTATTTTAAGTAGATGAAAATCAAAACATTGCATTACTTTACATGAAAGTTATCATAAAATGAAAGTTAATTTATATAATTTTAATAGTACATATACTAAAACCCAAATATAAATATATATTTTCATATATAAACATTGATTCAAACCAAATTAATTTTACTAATTTATATAGTTTATGAATTATACACTTAAACCCAAAAATAAATATATATTTTCATATATAAACATTGATTCAAACCAATTCAGATTTATTTATTTATATAATTTATGCTTTATATTGTCCATAAAGACAATATAATTTTGTGAATGTTACTAATATTATATGTATACGTATATATTAATTGTTTGATGACCTCTAAGTAAAGAAACTATTTTTTACTAAAAATAAGGAATTTAAAAACGGAAAAGGTTAGAAATAGAAAAAGATGTGATGGTGCCAGCAAATACTCCCAATAAAAACTCGCCATTCGGCAGAAATGGAGTGTACATGGAAAAAGTGTGGGGAACTGTCAGATGATGAGCTGGAAATTTTCAAATTTATTGTTTTTATATTATTTTTGAAATTATAACAAATCTTATTTTAACTGTTTTAAAAATCTATAATTCCGTTCAATTACTTTTTTATATTCATACCGTTAAAATTATTGCTATAAACTATGGGAATAATTTGAATAAATTTATTAATTTATTCAAAAAATAAATAGTGACTTTAAAAAATAATTAGATATATTATTATAATAAAAAGCAAAATAAAATTTTTTTATAATAAAAAGCATAATAAAAATTGTCTACCAATATTTAATTACAGTTTTCTTAATAGGCAAGAAAATTATAATATAATCTTACTCAAAAAGGTGTCGTGTTTTTCAATTATTCTAGAGGGTGCCTAGGTGGCAGGGTGGGTTTGTTTTGAATATACCTTAAAAAATAAAAGAATTGTTAATGATTTTTTGGAATTTTTTGGGGTTTAATTATATTTTGTCACATTGAAATATTGAATCACAACCTTTTAATATGTTATCGTTACAAAATAACTTTAAATGTCGGAATTTAATATAGTAGGTTTAACAGTAAATAACAATAAATGTAAAATACATCAGTTTAGAATGCTGGTCACTTATACTATTCATTTATATAATAATACAAACTTACAATTCCTTTCCTTTAATTGATTTACTTCCACCACTTGTCCTATGCAATGAATGTATTCTGAATAATGGTTTTATTGTGATACATTAGTAGGATATTACACTAGTTTGAATGTTTGATTTCCAACAAAAACTATATATATATATATATATATATATATATATATATATATATATATATATATATATATATATATATATATATATATATATATATATATATATATATATATATATATAGTAGCCGTTACCCGCGCACAGCGGCGGGGACAAATAGCTTCTTTCAACGATATTTTTTTTTTTAAAAAAAATGTTATGTTCCAAAAGAAAGTTCATGTCGTGGGTGAGAGGAAGGGCAGTAGTCGTGATAGTGGTTAGTTGAAGGCGGAAGGAGGTAGAGCGACTGTGGTGGTGGTGGTTATACTGTCTTGGTTACTGGTTAGGGTTCTTCGAGAGAGTGTGCATATATTTCTTACTTTGAAGGGATTACGAAGATAGATATTATGAGATGACTTGTTACCAATGTGAGAGAAGAGATCCTCTATAAATTGTTGATATTGACCGCTTCAAATGACTGAAGTGTTGAGATTGACGGGTTCAATTTGCAAATGAATTCTTCTATTAATTTGATACCAGATTTTTAGGGGATAAATGATAGGGTTAAAGTTTTAATATTATTATATTATAAATGGGTTGTACTTCAAGCTTAATAGTTTGGACGTCTTAAAAAAATAATATTATTATATTCAATCTATTTATAGAAATAGTTAGATTTATTTTATAAGTAGTAAAGATATATATATATATATATATATATTGAAAAAAAGAAGCACAATTTTTAAAAATAGCAAAAAATGACAAATACATTGCAATTGAATTGACTTATCATATTCATATGGAGTATGCGATTTGTTTTATTTGGTTAGGTTTTGGGTATTGTACACCATCATCAAAGTAGTGTCATATCCTTTGCATTACTTGATTCGTCGCTGAAAATAAACAATATAATTTTATTCTTAGTATGTATTTTTTAACGATGAAAGTAGTTTACATTTGTCATTATTTTTCCATAGCTAGTCTTGCTTCAATTTTTATAACCTCATCATTTTTTTCATAGTTAATCTACAACAATATATATATATATATAGACATGGCAAACCCGTCGTGTTGTGTCGAGTTCGTATCGTGTCAAGACATTAAACGGGTTGAAAGGGTTTGACCCTAACCCGACCCGTTTAATTATCGCATCGTGTTGTGTTAACCTGTTTATTTCGTGTCGGGTTTCGGGTTAAGATTTAGACCTTATAAATATGTTGTGTCATGTCAAGTTGAAATATTTTAATGGTTTGGAAGTAGGATTTCTGGAGGTAAAAAGTAAAAAGTGAAACGATGGAGTTATGAGATAGAATAACAAAATTTATAGTAAGTTTAGAAGGAAAAATGAAAAGAGTTAGAGTTGTTGAGCAAAAGGAATAGATTGTGAGGATGATAAAAATTAACTTTGAAATTTTGAATATTATTTCTAATTATTGAGTTTGCCCATTACAAGTCCATAACATATAATATATTTATAAAAATATGAAATTTATAATAAATAATATATAATTAAAAGGGTCGAGTCATCTTCGAGTTGAAAGTCTTAATACTAACCTTACCCGTTTAATTATCTTGTCGTGTCCTGTCAATCCGTTTACATAAATGTGTCAAAATTTCTGACCCCAACCCGCTAATTTTGTGTCGGTTTCGTGTCGAGTTTTCGTGTCGTGTTATGTTTTGTCAGGTCTAGATATATATATGATTAATTTTGTTATAAGTTGAAATCATCGATAAATAATGAGATATTAACTAAACTAATTATTATAAATGAGAATTTTAATAAAAATAACCAATTTTCGTGTTACTTGTAAAATAATCATTTTTCTGATACACGATATTCCAAAGTACACCTTGGATTTAAGAATTGAAAATTTGGAGTGTCATTCCGAAATCAAACAAAAGATTTTTTTTTCTTTCTTTATTTATTTTTTTGCCAATTTAATACTGTAAATAAAAATAAAGGTGGCACGATTGTTGGCCAAAACTAGACCGTTAACCGCAAATGCGATTATTAAATTTTAGAAATGAATGGTGTGGTTAATGTAGTGGTGTGATTATACGGTCATTTTATATGGTTTGGTTATTTGGTTGTGGTTGTGGTTTTTAACCATGTGGATTTGATTTTTTGCGGTTTTAAAAATTCAAAGACTATTACTTATAGCGATATAAAAACCAATAAGATATAAGACAATAACTTAAGACACTAACAAACTAATAAATTAAGCATTTAACAATTAGCAATTAACATTTTAAAACGCCCAATTTTGATAACTTAGGCTAAAAGTTAACACCACCAAATCATATTTTTAAAATTCAAGATATTTTAAAACACCATCCATTAACACTTTTATATATATATATATATATATATATATATATATATATATATATATATATATATATATATATATATATATATATATATATATATATATATATATGTGGTAGTTTTCATTATCATTTTAGCATCATATTTTGTACATTGGCATGTAATTTATTTAAATAATGTTCAGCTCATGTTTTTTGTTAGAATTCCTGTACTGCTCATATTTTTATGTCAATTTCAGATAGTTCGAGTGGAGCAGTGCTTTGGGAGCAGTTGGATGCGTGTTTGGAGCTTAAAATTGTAACGCCCGCAGATCCGGGCTAGTCAATTTAGA